GGCTCTTCAGCCAACCGTGCATGACCTAAGTAAACACTCAGCCAGGCACCATCGTATTAGTAAGTCAGCTGGGAAAGACTTTGTCAAGTGGTTTACTGAAATAGAAATGCAGCGTACCTCACCTCCCTCTCCTGAAGTCCAGCCAGGAGAGAGATGAGGAGGACTGTCCTGATTTGTTCTCAGTAACCCTGTGTCGACACTTCATGATTACTGCTTTCCTCTCTACATTCCCACAAACCATCAGTTTAATAACCCACCAGTACAAAAGTCCACGTATATGGGTCACTTATAACGGCTCCAGGGCTATTACTTCCAAGAAACCCTTACTGTTTGGAGGATTCGGTAGTATCTATCACTGGCTTCTCTGGCTGAATTCCTTCCATGATTTCAGTAAGCTTAGTGGTACAAGAGAAGCCTACTTTAATAAAATCCCATATACAAAAATATCCTTCACGTTTATTTCAGAGGAATAGTAACATGGTTTAAAGTTTTTTTTTTACTGTTACAAAGGGAAGTCTGTTTAGATACCAAGCTTGTGGCTCCTTTAATGTAACAAAGGGATACCACATAACATCTGATTTACACACCAGTCTCCAGGAGGCCGCCTTGCGTGTGGAGAGGGGCCCACCCAAATGGAATCCAGTCGCACATCTGGATGGTGCCCAAGGGGCTGGACTAGCTGCCACCGTGGCTTCCCTGGGTGCTCGCGGCTAGATGCTTTGTTGCCGGCTGGTGTGATCGTAATTTCCTGCCACACTCTCCCTGCTGTCTGTCCAACTGAATGGATAATGACATTTTTATTTGGGTTAATGTGATATAAGATGGGGCATGTAATATGAAAAATGTTTTAAAAAGCAGTGCAGAGAAAATACGATGAGATCGTGGTGCCTGATCTGAATGCCGGCCAGTCACGGTCCCTCCAGCTTTTCTTCCTTTTGCATTCTCTGCGAGCAGTTATGGAATTTACTTTCACACGAATTGCATGCAAACAAAAGCTCTCTTTGTTGGGTTTGCATAATTTTTCTACACACCACAAACCCTGCGGTTTTTTGTCTACCCAGATCTGCAGAACTGCAGGCACGTATGGTGTGCAAACACACTCACACGCACACATACACACGTGTGCACAGGTGACGACACGATGCTGTTATCACTTGAATCTTGATAAAAGACTTGCATTTGGTTGTTATATTCCATCTTGTTGGTAAGAATGATGAGTGTTTTTTGGTTTTATTTATTTCATATAATGCACGTATATTACACCTGCAATGAGATAAACATATTAAGGCCAGAGGGTTTTGACAACATAACCTCTTCTTAGGGATTACAATCCAGCAGCCATGCCTGGGGAGTAATTGTCCCGTCTTCTCCCGCCTCTCACGCTAGTCACGTGTATTCGAGGTGGCGCAGAGCTTAAGGCTGGGCAGTTGTGGCCAGCTGTAACCACCGAGGGAAAGCCTGGGCAGGGAATTACCCAAGGAAGGGAGTCTGCTCACTGGAATTTGTTGTATGATTCAAGTGCCCAGTAAAAAAACGAGTTCTCCACCCACTGTGTCT